ACAGTATTACTCAGGGAAATGTCACATATCGCAAAATGATATCACACAGCTGTAATTAGCACAAATGAAATTACAACAAAACAAAGCCAGCACGAACAATGAGTTACCAGAACTGGAAAGTGCCAACCTGGAATAACCAATCATGCATATACCCTTCCGCTTTAAGCCACATGCTCATGCCATCTTGGGTGGCGTGTAGACCGAAACACTCCACCACTGATTGTGATTATCTACCTGCCCAGTTCCTCTGCAGGCTGAAGGCTTCAAATGCGACACGGCCATTTGCTGTATTTCATCTGCAGCTGTGTAGGCACCCAGCTGACTGGAGATGTTACTGGAGAGCAATGAAGAGCAGAAGAACCCAGGAAACCCCAGTTTGTCCCTAGATAAAGTTCAGAGCCAATATTCCCACAAAAAAAAAAAAACAACAAGCAGTGAATGGAAAAGCAATTCCAGATTCAAGTCAACTTATTTATTCCAGATTTGCATAAAGAATTAGAAGTGTACATCTTATTTGACTTAGGTATGGCAGTCACCATATCATTCAATACATGACATTCTATTCAAAATTTAAAGCATTTGGCTGAAGTTCAGTAGACTTTCTAAACAGGCTTTGTAACAATTCGCCCATTCTTTTGTATACGCCCAAGTGGCCTGAACCATAAACAAGGGTTGACATAACGGGTGCGCAGGTATGCATTCACCTTTAAAAGTGACAAAAATCGATTACTGTTACAGCACAAATAAGTACGTATTTTATGTGCATTTGCGCAGAAAACAAGAAATTACCGTGCATTTTAACCTATATACCGCAAATGTAGCACAAATTAGTATATAATGGTTAAAATGCACAATATCTTGTCTTATCGGCGCAAATGCACATAAAATACGTACGCATTCATCCTGTTACATTGCTGTACGTACAGTATAGCTTTTAAAAGGTGAATGCATACTACTTGCATACCAGTTATGTCAATCCCTGACTATAAATTACACTGTGCATGTCAGCACTAAATGTATAATATGAAATATGACAAGGAGTATTCTCATTAGACATAAGATGCTATTTTATAAAAGGAGCTTGTATATAATCTGAAATAACTGAAATCTCTTTTAGAAAGAGGTTACAAGATCCTGAGCTGCCTAAACAAAACCTAGTTTATGATTTGGACATATTTTAACTAGGTTTGCCAGGATTAATCGACAGAATAAACAAAACCACTGTAAGTGTTGCCTATTCATGTTTATTAAATTACCATTAGTACGGGTAAGTACTAAATATACTCATTATGAAAGCCATAACGTTGTCTGCCTGCTACCTTGGATTCTCCATTGAATAAGTCTTAGTGAAAATGTTTAGGCTAAAATCTGGGCTTATTTTATGTGGATTGGCAGTGCCAGTGTGTGTTCATGTGCATTGGACATGTTGGGACCAGTTTATCGTAAACTAAAACTGAAATGAAAATAGACACTAAATAAAAGGAAATAATTTGTGAACTGAAATAAAAATGAAAATATTTACAAGAAAACGTCGGACTTTAAATCGGCAAAAAGCCACACCACCACCACCAACGTTTTGCCTTGTTTATCCACAAAATCTCCTCTTTTAGGAGATGTTGTGGTTGCTGAGCTGTCCCTTTCTTGTTCCTTTTTTCCATGATTTACCAAAACAGTTGCATGTGGCTTGCCCAGTTTACCGAATTTAATAAGCACAAGGATACCCCTAATTTATACAAATTAACAACTTTTGGGTATAACAAGAAACATCTCAATATTTTAGGCATACTGCTAATTTGCTCATTGAATTGTGGGCAAAAATAATGTCTGTATAGCGCTGAAAAGCCGGTGCCCACTATCTAAAGCCCTGCAATAACATACAGTTTGTTGTTGTCAAAATAAAATTAGCCTAAATGGTCTATTGGATTTTCTGGAGGAAAATTAATCATTTAGATTAATCCACTAATCTGTAAAATAGTCGAAAGATTAACCCAAAGAAAATCAGTCATTAGTGGCAGACCTAATTTTAACAGAATTTTATGAAGAAAATTTGTAACTTTGAAATCTTAACTGACAAACCAAAGCAAATGTGGCAATCATCTTTAGGACATTTTCACATATAATTCCAGATTTTTCCCAAGCAACACTACCACCAAGGCTGAAGGAAAATTCCATAAATATATATATATATGGATCTTTAAACGTAATGAGGGGTGCCAGCCATAACCTGAAATGTCAGATAAATGCACCAAACAAAATTTGACTTTTTTTCCCCCCTCAAATCACTGGGAAAAGTAATAGCTATAAATATTACTTCTCACAAATATGAATGCAGGGACTTCAGTGCATGAACCCTTAATGTCAAAACATACATAATAACAGCAGCAGCCACAAAGACGGCCAAGACTGCTCCATGGACACCTGACCTCCGACCCTCACTTCTATGTCGCTTTAGACAAAAGCATCTGCTTAATAAAAGTACGTTTCAGGACTCGTTTAAAATCACTGTAATCATGAATTTAATGAGAAGTGCTTTTAGGCAACACAGACCCAAATGATGTTTAAGAGCTCATTTTCCAACAAGCTCACACAAGTTCCTGTTCTACAAAAGCACAATTGCACCATACTGTCCCTGCTGTTACCACATCATCCTAAATGTTTGTCTCTTATCAGATAACATTTTAAATATTTATGGAGAAATGCAAAACAGTATGCCTCAATAAGCCAATACAAAGGAAACAACCTCCAATGGGGGACTGAGGACTGCATGGTACCAGTATTCTTTATATAAAGAACGGGACAGGACAGAACAGTGGGGGACAATCCACCCATTCAGAACTGATACAGTATGCAATTAAGGTTGATGCAATACATTCCCATTGGCCACTGCAGAAACAAACAGTCACCCTGACCAAGCTCTGTTCGTAACAGACCCTATTGGCATCCGCTTCAGGAATTTAAAATACTCACTGAAACAGAACAATGATGTTACTATCAAACCTAAGGCAACACAAATGCATAGTTGCAGTTCAAAACAAAGGGTACAATTTATCTATACACAAGGAAATGCATACATAAACACACTTTATTCTGCTATGACTGTACTAGCAGGAAAGATAGCACATATAAATATCTGAAGACTCCATACGAAACTGCTTAACCTATCATGTGATGTCACACAGAGCTATGCAGCTGAAGCGGTATCTACAGGTCCCAGATTACAAGCAGGGGCAAAAACTCAAGCCTGCTCTAGCTCAGCAGGCATATGACACACTTGGGGGGGGGGCAAAAGAAAGCAAGCGGCACTAAAAAAGCCAATGGCCACAGGCAAAGGACACAGATTTTAAAAACAGAGCAGAGTGTAAAGGAATCACTGTACATGTACATGTCTTCTTGGCTCCAAAACGAAAGAGCAATTTTGTAACAAGCATAAAGGGCGAATGAACGTTAGTCATTCGGACAGGTATACGCCAGATCTTTCAGCAGAGAACCTGTTTATCAACATGTCAGAGTAAGGGGAAGCGTCCGAGTGGACTACGTACTGAGTCGCTCCGTTTGTGATTCTAGTATAAAGAAAAAAAGGAGCTTATACTAGAATACCCATATTCATAAAATGTTTTCTAGCTATGTCAGTCTGAAACACTACAGGCCAACCAAACAGTAAGCAACCATTCCCCCGCCCCCCCACCACCACAAACCACCAAACGTATGTTGCTAACAACAGAAATTGAGGAAGGAAACAAAACTGTTGTCTCGTTAATAGAGCCAATGACTGAAAAGGAGGGGGGCTGGGGAAAAATAGAGAGCGCGAGAGAGAGGGACAGATGCATCCTGTAATGTGGATAGTTAACTCATATCTAGAGAGAGAGAGCATGGCAGCAAAAAGTCTATTAGACATGGCAAAGTCACATTAAGGGAGTCAGTTTATTTGGCTCTTTGAGGATTACAGCTCTGAACCAAAGTGCAGGAAAGGTACCCCTCGCTTGGCAAAATCTACACGGATCTTCAGCAAGCTGACAGATATGCACTGTGACCTCCTTTCATGCAGCGGTGCATGTCCACATGCATGCGGTGATGATACTCTAGTGATCAAATCTCAAATAAGGCCATAAACAGCTCATGTAAAAAAAATGAAGAATGACCAATAAGAGAATCAGCCAGTAGAGAGACATCACTGTCTTACTCAGTCACAATCTTACTCAGGCAGACGTCAAAAAGAAAAATTACACAGTTCCTGGACAATGCAACAATGCATATAGTGCAAAACATTTAAACTATTTACAAGACATATTTATGGAATACAAGTATTATGTCCAGTGTGGTCAGCTGTCCCAGCACTGTAAAAAAAAAAACATTTAGGAGACTACACAGAACAGCGGAGAACTGAATTGTCAGAACTGAAATCCCCTGTGACTCATTACATCACGCCACAAAGACAAGCAGGAAAAATGTTAAGCTTTTTAAATTATTTTTAAAACATACTCCACAAAAAGACACATTGTAGCATTTCCTCATTAAGGACAAGAGTCCCTGGAGCCCTGAGATGAAGGTCAACATTTTCTATGAGGACCGACTTTTTTTCCACTTTTTCTCATTCCGTATTCTTCTTATTGAAAGTTACTTAAAAGGCGTGTAGTTTTTAAACCTTCAGTCACAGGTAAGGCGTTTACAAGAAAGGCTCCGGGAAACAGATCTTAACATTTTAAGCACTAATGCTGAGCAAGTTGTAGCAATTAGTGTGTGTGTGTGTGTGTAAGGTAACCCCACACTAATGGCACGATAAAATAACCTCGGTTGGTTCCAGAGCCATTTCAAAGAGATTATGAAAGGTAGCAGTTTCACGAAGGACAGAGTAACGGGACCGTTACGGCAGTTAGACAAGGGAGGGGGAGGCGTTGGTCCGGCCGCGAAATCAGCAACCGAACACGGAGCGTGAAATACATTTCGCGTGACATCTGTAAAGGGCCGTTAGCGCACAGAGCCCGACGGAGGCGTCGCCCTACCTTCCGCGATGAGCTCCTCCACGGTGACCTGGTACCGGCCCACGGCGAACACCCTTCCGATGTAGCTGGAGACCCCCGAAGAGGAGCCCGAGCCGCAGCCCCCGCCTGGCCCGCCGCTCTCGGATCTCGGCATGCGGGAGAACTTCTTCATCCTCGTCCCGGTTCTGGCACGTCAAGACGGCGGCCGAAAGCGCACAGTAATGCCCAGGTTCCTACAACTTCCCCCCTGTCCTCATCTCAGCGACGTGCGCCTCCTGCTTCGCATACTCCGCCACAGCCTGCGATCCGGGGCGTTGAGGCGCTCCTTCGCGGGCCGGCCGCAGGAGCGGGGACGGGCTTTAGCCCAAGACGGCTATCGGCAGCCCTGTGAACACCGAGCACGGAGCCCCGCACCTCCAACAACACGGTACCCGGGGAAAGAGCCCCTGCGCTGAGAAGTGCTGCTGCCTCACTTCCCCTTTGTGCCGCGCTAACGCGCTAAGCAGCCAGAACACGGTACAGTTAGCTACACTTAGCTAAGGTTAGCTACAGTTAGCTAGTGTCAGTACTCGGTGCGGAAATACAGGCCAGCCGCAGCGACTCCGAGCGACACACACTCACATGAAGGCCACCTCGCTGACCATCACACATGTACCGCCGCACTCTCCCTCCCTAACCGAATAACAAACAGCCAAACCCCATCAGCTTCCCTCAGTTTCGCATGTTCCTCCCGTTCCACCCCCTGAAACTTCCAACTCCCGTGATTCTCTGTCGGCACAAAGGTGGGTGGCTTGTTGTTACCCAATGCGCCTGATTGACAACCTAACACAGCTTAGTCCCGCCCCTCCCATTGTACTGATTGGTTTCTCGTTACACAATAGGTGTGATTGACAGCATTGCTGACATCTATCCTGCTCTTCCTGTCGTATCGCTTGGTTTGGTATTACCCAATGCGCCCGAATGACACCAAAAACACACGTTTTTTTGCCCGTCCCATTTCAATAATTCGTTTGTTGTTACCCATCACGCTTGATTAACAACCTAACACAACGTCCTGGACCTTCCCTCTGTAATGATTGGTTTGTTATTATCCAATGCGCTCCATTGACATCCCAACTCCACTCGTCCCACCCTGCGCCCTGTAATAAAACGGTCCTTTCTGAAAAGGTAGAATAAAATCTTGGTCCTTTGTTTGTTGTTCATTCTGTTTAGCTGCGAAAGAAAGGATTAAGCGTTATGTCATTTGCCTCTGATTTTCTTTAAATGGAATCATATTCTCGCAATTAGTGGAAACCAAGTACGCCTTAATGTTTTAATTCTGTTTTTAAAAACTATTTAAACCTTTCAATATTCATTTTTCTGTATTTTATTATAGTTGTACATTTAAAGTTCATACCAGTGTATATGGCATGGGTTTACGTCTATTTCGATTTAATTAATTGAAAAAAGTGCATAACGACGAATTTCACACGAGGCACACGATTTTTTCAAGTCAGTTGAGCCAAGTAATTTTCAGTAACCGGCAGTATTATGCTTCCATCAGATCTTAGACTTAAATGGGACATAAATGCATTGTATCTTTATCTGTAGTTTACAGTGTCAAAGTTAATGCTTCCATGCAGTAGGCCTGCTTAATTTACGGAAACGTATATCGATCTATGATGACAGGCAAGGGCGCTTTAATCCACGGCCTTACCCAGGCGTAAGCCCAGGGGTCTCCGCTAAAAACGGGCCTTAACTAACTTCGTTTAATAAAATTATAAACTTAGAGTTGCCAGCCATCCTTTATTGCAAAATATGACGGTGTGCCTCATTTTTAAACAATGTGTCAACATATGCTGCAGTCGACTAGAACGTGGATCTCCTGATACTGCAAAGGGTACGTGTGAAAACAGCAGACTGAATTGTTTGGCTTTAAGAGTGACATCATACCTCAGTGGGTAGTTCTGACCCCCGACCCCCGGTTGGTAGTTATGGCTAGTCCTGGCCGAGCTCTGCTCAAATGTTTTTATAGCTTTGAATCCAGCCCAGCTCTGTGTGAGTAAAGATGCCAGTTCAAGCTGCGATAGACAGAGGCTCACATATATAGCGATATTGATTAGTTTGCAGTGTCATTGTGTAATGCTGTAATTTATATATTGCATGTATATGGTATTGGTTGGCCTTTCCAGGGCTGTGTGGTTGCATGTCTTCTTTTTGGATGATGGAAGGAAATGCAAACATGGGTAGAACATGCAAACTCCACAAAAACACAGTCCAGAGGGTGTGAAACTGCAGTGTTACACTATATATATATATATATATATATATATATATATATATATATATATATATATATATATATATATATATATATAATGTGTGTGTGTGTGTATATATGTATATATGTGTGTGTAGAATGAGGAGTATTCTGGATCAAATTAGAGAAGTTATTACTCTAAGTATGTAATTCAAGTTTACAAAAAAAAACACAGCATTAACATGATTTTTGTTTTATTATTAAAAGGCACAGAATACAGGCATCATCATTACAGCACTGTTATTCCTTGTGAATGACAGGACCAGGACGTTCTGGTATTTGCTCATCCGCCTTTATGGTTCTGTAACATTCCCTGCAGTGAACTAGTGAACTAAAAAAACATACAATTCTAAACAAATACAAACACCAACTTGAATGATCCTTTACTGTGATGTATTCAGGGAAGATAGAGTGATTAAAATATTTAAATGATGCATTGTTTATTGCTGAGCACTGTAATACTTCCACCATGGAAATTAAAGACCATTCTGTGGAAGATAAAAATGTCACATATGTAATCCATTATATTAAGGTAATACAAAATTATGCTAAAAGTAACAAACAGGTTTCAAAAGCACAATATTGTAGCTGAAAACTGATCACAGGAATAAGTAAACACTAAAAAAGAGTAAGGCCATCTTATTTGTTTTGGTAAAATTCATGTACCGGAGAGGCCAGGCACAATGGTATAAAACACTGACATTTGATGTTTAAAAAACAAAAAATTGCATAATTTCAGAATGACTGCAGCCTCTAATCTAGCTGGGCATGTCAAGCCAATCTCTCCCATCTACTTTGATTTTGGGAACAAAAAAATACAACTTAAAAAGCAGCCATTTATATTTTGTCATATGAACTGAAGATTACAATAAGGTGTAATGCCTTTATTTTTAAATTGATTTCAATGATTGGTTAGTGTTTGGAGCTGCATACATGAATACTGTGTGAAACTGTAAAGGAGCTGTCAAGTGAAATGGACCTGATATCAAAGCTCCAATGGACTGCTGGCACATAATTGCACTTTAATAGATTAACAAATATCACAAGAGCTGCCAGTGTTTTGCACTTAATCATGAGCTGAATACTGACACCAACCGTACTGCTTATGACGTCAGAAAGGGACTATGCAGCTCAAGAAAGGAACACTTTATCAAAACAGGAGAAAGCAAGTGAGCTGCCATTGCAATGTTAAAATGTAAAAATAAACTCCCAGGACCAACTAGCATTCAACTGATGACACTAAAAATGTCTTCAAAAGCTATGAATTAGGCAACAGGTCTTTGCTCTTGTGAGGTAGCGCAGTTGGTAAATGATTTGCACTGTAAATATGATCAAGAATAATTCCCATGTTCATGTATAAAAATACAATACAGTATCTTTTCCATTACAATGAAAGGAAATGTGCCTTTCACAATATACACTTATGTATTGTCAGACCTCTGTGCCATCATTCAAGTTGTTGTGAAGTTTGACCTCCAAGTTGACCTGCTTGACCTTGACACTGTTGACTTTGCAAACCTCCTGGTTTTTATTGAGGATGTTGACATTTGTCACAGTGCAGTGTTTGTTGTTGAAGTTCTTCTGTTCTTTTGCATTCGCAGGGAAAACCTCTACTTTGGTGTTTAGAGGGTACTCCTTTGCCCCATTCTTTAGTGACAGCTTCTTCCCTTTCCAGCGACATTTCCTTAAGAGGAAGCAGGAAGCCAGACAGACAAGCAGAAGCAGGGAAGCAGCTGCCAACCCACCAGTAAGGGAACCATCAGCTTGAGGGCTGAAGGTTACAGACGGCTGCATCTCCAGCCGCAGCGTCTTCATGTTTGTGCCATTCTTCACTTGGTCACCCTCATTGTCGTAGATAAGTGAATCATCCAGGGTCAGCCGCCCCGTCCTGTCCACCAAATCTCTGCGATCCCTTCTCATCAGGTAAGTCAACGAACGTTGAATTCTTGGACCAGAGATGGACTCTGGGCCAATCACGTAGATTACCTGCAGGTACCACTGATGTCCTGCTTCCACCTGTATCACAGTGAATACATTAAGGCAGGTAGTGAAAACGCTGTCAAGACCTGTGAGGATCACGTACAAGAATGAGTGCATCACTGACCTTGTAAAGTGCGTCCACCTTCACTGTGAATCCATCCACGCCTGGCATTAGCGTCATGGGATGCAGCTCAGAAATGTCAGAGGCAAAGCTGGCTTCGAATGGGACGTCGTGGAAATACCGGTCACACACCTCTGGCTGTTTTCGGTCCTACAGTTAAGAAATTGAAATACTATGACAATTGCATTAAATTTTATAAAATTTAAGGCGGCATAGCATTTCAAGCGAGTTAGTATTTGAAGGTGCGGTTAAGGACGTTATTTTGCATCTGTGCTTCTGTTTACAACACTCACAGAAAGTCCTGGGACACTTGCTAAATTCAGCAAAAAAAACATTATTCATTTACAAAAAATATATATCACATAAGAATTAAACAACAAGTAGTTTTAAGTAAACATTCATTTCAAACAGTAATAAACTGAAACACAAATTGTAGTTCTAAACGAGCTGTTCTGTTGAAAATTCATTGTCAAGCAGTTTTTTGGGGTGTTTTTTAATTAGTGATACCTTTGCATTAATATAAAACACGATTTGTGTTTACTATCCCTTTGGGAGCCAATGACTATGACTGCAATTATTAGCAAAATGGCAAGAACAGAACTGAATGAGTCAGTCAGAAAAATTCTGACAATAAAAAGAACAAGTCTGTCCAGAAGATATCTGCAGATATTATACATACCTTGTCAATGGACATTTATTATGAAATCAATAAATTAGCAATATTTTTACAGAATTAATTGAGCGTACGAAGACTTTCTGTGAACACTGTATATAATGGTACCAGTATTGGGACGCACCAGCAGCAGGAATCTGTGTTTGAGGTGTTTGTTTGGCTGAATGCAGCCATACTGCGGGCCCTCATTGTACAGCGTGCCGGTGGGGTCAAAGTAGGGCACATATCCATCCCTTCCAGTGCATAAGTAGACCTTTTCCAGCTGGAGTTTGTAGGCCGCATTCAGGTTCTGCTCTGGGTTCCAGAGCACCCGGCCATAGAGCGTCTGGCCTGAGAGAAGAAAAGTTAATCAAAGTTAACAGAAAAATATGTCCCTTACTCCAAGACACTACTAAATGCCTTGTGAACTTGGAGTAATAGTGTTTTCTGCCACATATGAGGATACGCTTCTTCATACAGTTGATTACCCATGGAGAAGGCTCCTTTATAATCCATCTCAGCCATGGACACATCCGACTTGGCGGGATCCATCATGAAAATCTTCTCATTGTTGCACAGTTGAAACTCAGTGTTTAGGGAGTAGACTACAGGAACTGGACGGTTGGTCTGCTGGAAGGCGATAGGAACGAGGAACCTGCAGAAGAAGCAGGTTTATGACATCAGCTTCTTTCAGTCACGGAGAACATTCGGCTGTGTCAGTGGACGGCCATGCAAACACTGCCTGAACTCATCCTTATTGGGCTTGGCAGCTTTCCTT